TATAGTGCATGGTGCATATGTTTACACTAATTAAATTCATATTGAGAATTGTGCATGGTGCATCAGTTTGCATTTAATGCTTATTGAAAATCCAAAGAAAACTTTGGAGGTTTGGTTCACCGCTTCCTTCAGATCCTTAAATGGTGCAACGAAAAATTTTCACCAGCTCTTCTAGGCACATAGTGGTTAGAGACTTCCGCAGTTGTTTCTTTGTACTTGGGAGGGTTTTCTTCAGACAAAAGCTCTTTTATNGGTCCATAAAATCGACCTGGTGAAGGATGCACAAAGAAACAAGCGACTGAAATGCGCGGTTCTTGAACTCTGTTCGCCAAAACCCTATGCTCCACGCTTACAAACTTGTCATTTGATATAAGCTACAAAAATGAAGACCGTTTTTCACTTACGGGTTTGTATATATAGACAGTTTGATTTCATGTAAAAACAAAACAACTTGCCTGTAGGAGATCTCCAACGTTAATGATAAGAGCTCCCGGAGTAGGAGTAACATCGATATAGTATCCATCATGGAGAACTTGAAGTCCTCCAACGTGGTCTTGAAGAAGTATAGTGATGAAAGATCTATCTGTGTGCTGCGGCCCGCCGAGTGTTCGATCAGGCTCAGGACATGGAGGGTAGCAATGAGAGAGCATCAACAAACCTTTTGCGCAATCTATTTCTTTAAGATGGTTAGGACTGAGCCCTAAACCTTCTGATAAAAGCTCAAAGACTAACTCCGCTGACTTCATCACTTGCTTCGAGTACTCCCTCATGGTTTCCCTGGAAATGTCAAAACCCATCATTGACATGAAAGAAAAGTTTGGATCTTCAGATTTTTGACCAAGGCATGAGTAAAGTAGTATTCTTTCTTTCTTGTCAAGATTAAGAAAAACGCGAAAATCGTAAACTGTACCCGCAGATCTCTGGCAAGTCCTCTGCTTTTGGAGCATCAGGGAACATAAAACAACTTAAGGTATCTCTCCAAGTCGCAGCTGGAGAGTCATAGAGATCATTATTTGTGTTATACTTGACGTTTTTGGTCTTATCACGGCTATAAAACTTCTTTCTCACTTCTGGATCTTGGTCATGAAACGCACGAATCCCACCTATCATCTTCTCCATCACACTGAGTGGAACCCCATGGTTANTCGCTTGGAAAAATCCAAACTTTTCCATCGCGTCTCTCACCTCCGCAACCACACGCTCACGTGTCGCCTTGGACTCGTACATTCCACCTCCAAGATCGATTGTTGGGATCCGGACCGTCGAGGAGGGTTTAGGATTTCTTAAATTGACTTGCGNGTGCTGGAAAATACGTGGGATTTTTGTGATTCCGGCGTCGACGAGACCCTTCACTCCGATCTTCATCTCGTCGAAAGCTTTTAGTTCACCCACACGGTCGTATGTTCCTGACATTGTTTGACAGGC